AATCCAGGTAGATTTCTACCGCCACCCAGACGGAAAGCATCCACGGATGTTCTGCGACCACCATTTCCCACCTTCCATTGGAGCCGCACTTCCACGGCCAAGCCTCTGGGGAAAACAACGCCCAGCTCCCACCCACCCGCCCACCTCACCCAAGGTAGAAGGGGGCCGGGGCCCCGGAGTGGGGCTTCTGGGGTGCGCCCGCAGAGCGAGGCACCCGGGCCAAGAGCAAGGAATAGGGTGGGGCTCCAGAAAGGGGGTTGGGGCTGGGAGACGACGAAGACCCGAAGAAGAAAGGAAGGGAGAGGCGGCAGGGGCTGGGCGGGGTGACGGCGGCGGAGGGCAGCGCCGGGCTGCGGGGAGCCGCGGCGGCCGCGCCGGGAAGGGAAGGGAAGGGCCGCGGGAGGGGGGCTGAAGAGTGAAAAACCGAGCAACGGAGGGTCGACGAGCCCTGGGAAGGGCTGGGGGTGGGACGCAGCGCGAACGTCAGGCCAGCGGGGAGCCTCCGCGGGCCGAAGGGCCGCACCGGAGGCGGTGCGGCGGAGCCGCGGCCAGCTGCCAGGAGTGGGGGAGCCGCGCACTCACCGCTCTGCTCCCCCAGGAACACCAGCTTGAATTTCCTCAGCGGATTCCCGAAGTCTCCGCCCGCAGACATGATGGAGCCGGAGGAGCTGCCGCCGCCTCAGTCCAGAGACCTCCCGGACCGACGCCGCTCCAACCGGCAGACGAAAAGGACGAGAAGGGCAGGAGCCGAGCTCTACTCGGCCCCTGCAGGGCCCGGCGGCGGAGCAAAGCTGGAGGGCAAGACGCCTTCACGGACGGGCAGCCGTCGCCGCCGCCTCCCCGCAGAGTCGCCTAGTACCTACGAAGGCCCGCGGCTGGGAAGGGAGGGAGGGCGGTGTCGGAAGCCGCCACGGGTGTGCTCCGGTTCCCTGGGCTAGCGCCCGGCACGGAGACTGGGCTGCGAGAGGCGGAGAGTGGCGGAGCCGGGGCCGCAGACGCGTGTGGGACTTCTCCAACGCAGCGCCTCAGCTGCCCAGCTGCCCAGCTGCCGCCGCCACCGCAGCCCAACCTGCTGAGTGCGCGAGCCTCTGGTGCGGCGCGGGGCGAGCCCAGGCGCGAGCCTGCCGCCCCGCCGGCCGCCGACGTGGTTGCGTGCGTGCGTGCGTGCGCGTGCGCGCCACGGCCGGCGCCTTCCTGGTTTATCCCGCAATCCAGCCCACCCCCACCCCCACCCTCATGGAACCGAGAAGAGGGCCAGTTGAGTTTCTCCTCCCGTCGGGAGAAGGAGGAGGCGGGACGAAGCCCGAGGGAACTCAGGGGATGGGATGTGGAACGCGGAATAAGCCAATCGGAAGAGGCCAAGGCGTCCAGGGACGCCTGGGAGCTGCTGGCGCGAGAGTGCGCGCGACCCTCGCGCCGTGGAAAGCATCGCGTTGTGGCGGCCATGGGAAGTGTGGCGCGTCGCCGCCTGAGGGAAAAGCAGGGGAGACGGAGGCGGGGCTGGGACAGAGGTAGGCAAGACCCCGACTGTGCCGGTGGGGTCAGAGAGCCCTTGCTAATGAACTAGGTACCTATTTCCCGAGCTCTCGGCGATCTGTCACAGTCCTCAGATTTCCCAGTTATCCCTGCACCCTTCTCCATCTTCCTTCTCATCGTCATTCCTCACACGGCATCTTACTAGGTACATTATCCCCCGTCTCTCCCGGGAGTTTCATAACTGCAAGAAGCAGAACCTCCACAGTTTGTAGATGAGGAAACAAGGCCAGAAGGAGGAAATGACTTTTTTTCGAAATCCACGAAGACAGACCGTGAAACCCAGGTTTTCTTCTTTTTCCTCATTGACCCTTTGGAGCCTGCCTATTAATGAGCCCACCCACTTCCTAAACAGACTCAGTTTGGTCTTCTGTCAAAAGCCAGCGTTTTCTCCGATGGGGACAACACTAATGCTAGGGCCCACTGTCTGCCATGCTAAGTAAACGGTTCAGACATCAGATAAACCAAGACCTCACGTCTCACCGAGGAAAACAGCTTTGCAGAAACTCCCACAACATTACAGGTGTAACATAACTGGAGCCCAAATCTGGGCAAGGGGATATTTCGATAGCTCCCATACCTCGGATCAGCATCCCTGAGTCGACATCCCTTAAATTAATTGTTTAAAGCATGTATATTTTCCTGTGGAGAAGATCATAACTTTCATCAGATTTTCAACCAGATTGGTGATCCAAAAAATAAAAGGCTAATGCCACAGTCAAGAGGTGACATGCAGCAAAATTATTGTGGTATCCTGGATGGAGCTCTGGGACTGAAAAACAGGATGGGTAAAACCCAAAGAAATCTGAATAAAGTGTGGACTTCCATTAATAACAATTACTATTTGGATCATTAATCACAATGTACCATCCTACTGTAAAATACAATGGAGGAAATTGGGGGAGGGACCTATGGAAACCATACTCAAAAACTCACTGCTATGAAGTGTATTACAACTCAAAACATTTTTTTTCTGTAAATCTAAAAGTCTTCTAAAATATAAACTCTTTTAATAAAAGATAAATAAAAGTTCAGAACCACCAAATTCATTATTTTGCCACCCACACAACTTCAGCCACACTTCACCACATTGCAAGACTGATCTAAAAAGTAGGTCCTACCTTTGAGGAGACCATCTTTTAAAACTGGCATAAAATAGTACTTTTCCAAATTAATTAATATGTCCTTACATTTTTACGTAGTGTCTTAGTCACATAACATGTTTATGTACATCACTGTGCATTATTCAGGGGATATTTACTTAGATTCTAGAAATGGCAGGGTCAAATAAATTCCTTTTCATGTCCATGGATGAATTACTGACCAAGAATAAATCAAGTGGAGGAACTTCTCTTGCCTATCCAGACAGGAGCTATATACACAAATCTCCTTTCTATCAAAATTTACTCATTGTTGGTTCCTCTTAGCCAAGTGAAAGGATTTGGCACAAACTTCTAGAATGAATTGGTAAAAACCTGAGTCACAACTTGGACATTTATCGAATTATTTAGACTCTTTGAAAGTAGCTTGGCAGGTCTAGTAGGACTCTCCTATCAATAACCCGGAACTGTGGTATACACAAAGAACATCTAATACCAAGGGAGATTTCTAAGGCTCTCACAAACAAGTCAGTAACTTTTTCTTTCTGTTGGGTAACAGGTCTACCTAATGTTTCCTGAAATAGCCTTTAAAGTAACAGCTGAGGATTGGAACTATAATTACTTTGTACCCCCTCCAGAATTTAATGAATCAATTTCTCCCCCTTGCTTTGGTCTCTATAGTGACCTAAACAAGTGATGCTATTTCGTATCCTTTTAAGAGAAGGATAGTATAATCCACCTCTTACCAAGGATGTTTTAAATTAGCATTTTCAATTGATACATATACAATCTCATTCTCTGAAGCTCCCTTCATATGTATCAGATACCTTCTTTGAATAAGTCACATTTTAAAAAATGGAGAAATTACTTGGAAGAAAGAATTAGAAAGATCCTTTTCCTGGTTCATAGATGAAAAAAGGTTCAGACCTTTTTTCATAGCTGCTGCTTGGGACAAGGATGAGACTAACTGCTCCCATAAAGATTTACAGCCTTAGAAACCTTATACAGAGTTGCTATGTGTTGGCATCAACTGGATAGCAATGGGTTTGGGTTTTCAGGGCCACTTTCACATCTATGATTTCCTATGCACATTTACTTCTCACTACCTTCAACCCTTTTCTGCTTTGTTACTTTCCCTAATTCCTACTCTACCTTCAGGAAGTCTTAAAGAAGATTTCTGCCTGCTCCAAACCCCAACCAATAGTTTAAATAAATAGCAATGGCTGTCCTCCATTGTGTTCTGATCTTGTCTTTTGGTTCCCCAGTTAACCATCCCTTAATGGTGATTGCAGGTTATGGGTGTTCCCCACCTGACTGTAAGCTCCAAGAAATCAGAACCCAAGTCTTGTATCCCCAGAATTTGAAGAATGCTTACTATATAATAAGTATACTACAGATATTTTCTGAAAAATTGAAATCAGGATAATTTTTAGTTCTATTCATAGTCAATGAGACTTGGGCATGCAAAGATAGAAGAGCATTTAAGAGAAAGAGAATATCACCCCGACTCTATTATATAAATTGATACTTCCATTTCTTAACATTACTTATGAAAAAATGCACAGACCAGATCTAGTAACTAAAAATTGAGGGCAATAGGACAAAAGAGTTCTCTAATTTGAAGTCCCTAAGTGTGTCCAGAAATTGTAGCATAAGTTTTGCTCTTTTTTTGTACCAGAGAAAAAAACAAGCTTCTTGAGGAAGAATTGACATTTCTTCTCATTCCTAGTGGATAGCACTATGGGTTACCTACCAACAACACACACACACACACACACACACACAAACAAAAAGTTCTACAATATGTACAAAAGATGAAAATATTTTTCTATCTTACCTTCAGCTATAGTATAGGCTTATGACTCAATTTGATCCACGAGGAGACAAGGAATGTGCTAGAATATACAGCGATTCTCAGCCTGTTGGTCGTGACACATTTGGGGGTCAAACGACCCTTTCTTTTTATCTTTTTAAATCTTTTTATTGGGGGCTCTTATCACAATCCATACATGCATCCATTGTGTCAAGCACATTTGTACATTTGTTGCCATCATCATTCTCAAAATATTTTCTTTCTACTTGAGCCCTTGGTATCAGATTCTCATTTTTCCCCACCCTCTCCCGCACAAACCCTTGATAATTTATAAATTATTACAATTTTTTCACAGGGGTCACCTAAGACCATCAGAAAACACATTAGGAACCGAGTAACCACTCCTCTATCCCTCTCCAGGCAGCTCCGCCTACATACAAGTACCTAGTTTGAAGACCGTCACCCATGCTACACCATGCATCAAGACAAAATTTCATCTATTTGTATTTAGAAATAAATATTTTATAATATATACCATAATTACATATTGTTTTTGTGATTAATCACTATGCTTTAATTATATTCAATTTGTAACAATGAAAATACATCCTGCATATCAGATATTTACTTTATGATTCATAACAGTAGCAAAATTACAGTTATGAAGTAGCAATGAAAATAATTTTATGGTTGGGGGGGTCACAATATAAGGAACTGTATTAAAGGGTCACGGTATTAGGAAGGTTGATAACCACTGTGCTAGAAGGTTCTGAGATAAATTTTCTTCTCTAATGAAATGAGATACATGATGAAAAACTACCATTTTTCTACCATAGGATGTGAGTGTGTAAGGATATAGCTACAGCTAAATAATCTTGTGAACATTGCTACTTAATCTTGAGGAAAAAACCACTACATTGATGATGGCTAAGCAGAATGCTAACAAGCGTTATTGAACTTTTTTACCAACCCTGGGACTGGCCTTCCTCTGTATTTGTTTTTGGTGAAAAAATACATATTTTTGTATTTAATAATATAAACGTCTTTGTCATTGCTTGCAGATGAAAAGATAGGACACTCTCGCCAGTACATCTGTTAAAACACCTTACACAATTCCTTGACCGTGTGTGTGCGCGCACGCTAATAGTTATCAAGCTTGAACTGCCTTTTTTGTTTAGTACCCCCCTAAAAAGGGATTTATTGCTCATGGAGAAGCAGGAAATCAATAGAAGGAAGAAGAAAAAAAAGTCCAGGTGAAAGGTCTGAAATCATGGTGCTCATATTTGAAACAAATAGCAGCTCTGGCAGAAATTCAAGTGCCATCAAATACAAAGTCCTTCTAACCCACTCTACTCATTGTTATAGTCATTGCTGCTAAAAATAATGGTCAGTCAATATAAAAATGACAAATGCTCAGTAATTCAAGGTGACCAATTAAGTGAGCACAATTAACACAGAGTCTGTTTAAGGAAGTCTTGTTTTAAAAGGACACAGAAAGAAATATGAGAGATAGAGGAAGTCTTTTGTTCAAAGCTTGTTTTCTAATTACACTGACCTACAAGCATGTGGCAGGAGAAATATATAAAGATTATTTGGCC